GCCGCTTATGTATCAAAATAGCATCTCCAAACACGCAATCACGTTTCTTTAACAAAACTTTGAAATCCCGTAACGTACATAACTAAATCTTTAACTATAATATTTTGGGAAATTGCAATAATATATTACACGAACCTTGTAAGCATGTAACGCGCGAGGTTGACGTGATTGACAAAGGTAGAGATTGGTCTAACTCTAAACATTCACCTGCATATCATTGAACAACAATGAGAGGGGACTGAAACGTACATAGGCAAAAAATGATGGCAACTTGCTCTATCATTTTCTTGCTCATTATATCTTTTAAGTGAGCAGTCACCTTAAAGTTGTTTAGTAAGACCGAGGGGGGACTGAAACGGCGGGTGGGCCATTACCGCTGGACAAAATATTTGGCGAGATATCTCAGTTTCTTTATTCGAATATTCAATCGTCAATATGCTTATTTTTATCTATCTACTGAGATGTTTTATTGTATATTCATGGATTCCATACATGTGAGTAATTTAAAGAACGTAAGATCTTTTTATTCTTCAAGAGGCCCTTAGACACGCGGAAAAATTGTCCTTCGTGGTACCAAGAATCAGCCGCTAACAAATCACGAGAAGAAAGGCCAATAACTCTGCTATCACCTGTAGCAATAGCAGCCTTTCTAATCATAAGTTCTGCTCGCGTAAGGTTCTTCTTGACGAGGATTTTGCTCTCCACTTCATACATTACACCCATGAATCTCTTCTGTGAATTTTTCTCCAATTCTCGCTTAATTGTTTTAAAGGTTACGGTATAGCTGAATGGAGGAATTTCCCCTTCCTTACCACTCTCCGCCAAAACAAGCAATAGCCCATAATATTTATAATACCCATTAGCCTAAGAGTGACTAATACAAGTTTCACAACGAGGTCTTTTAGTTTGGTCTGTTCTTATCAGTCGTTGTGATCTTGATAATGTATGATCGCTAAGTGTTTGCTTTCAAGTGTTTCCGCTGATGAGAAATACAGATTCCGGCTTTAAGTCTTTATTTTGTGTTCTTTATTTATTAATTATATCTTTTCAAAGCGTCATAAAACGGCAAGGTTAACAATCGACATGGACTTTGAAGCACTTCCCTACCTTGAACTTACCCATGATGCCTTGCGAAGTTGATTTAATGACAAATCACACCCCACCGAGCGACCAAATTTGGCAGTATGAACTGGGTTTTGACCAGGAGAAGAATCTATTTAGCACTTAAATCATGCTTACACAAGATGGAGAAGAGCCTCAGTAACCATCACTTTGTTTTATACAATAGTCATGCATAGAGTGTAGCTTTATAGTCAATTGGTGCCTTTCTTTAAAGTGTGCTAAGTGTGATACGAGTAAACTCTTGTCAGAACTGTGATTGCTAGAGTTTACTTCGCCCAGACACGAATGTATTCTAAAATTCCGTTCGTTCGACCAGTCCTTCGAGCTAACACGACAGACACAAGAATAGTCTGAAAATTCCTTTGTAACTTCAACTTAGTGTTTCCCAGGATATGCTGCACATGTTTCAAAGGCACCAAAACTTCTCTGAAGTGTGAGACAAGTCAACTGTATTCGAATGTTCTCATAAGCGGGGGGTACGTTTTACAGGATGCGTCAGAATAAAATCAGAGTACGGTAACACAAGACTCCTGAAGGCGCTACTGTGAGATGCGTTGGCTAATGAGCGTGGCATTGAAAGGAATTGTGCACGTTTACAGTAAACTTCCATGATAAGTGAATTAAACCAGCTGGAGAGGATCACCTCTGGAGGAAGTCTACAATTTCCGAATGGATTTTTCGGAAAATAAGGGTGCTTACCATTTATCAAAAAAATCTGGAAATTCCGGTTGAAAGTCAAATTACACGGAATTTTTGTGAAAAATCCGTTCGGGAATTGTAGACCACCTCTAGAGGTATTTCTCTTTTTCCGTTCCGAACGGAAAACAACAGTAATTTCCTCACTATTTGCTAAATTTTCCAGTTTCCAGTCTCTCATCAGCCGAAAACAATTACGGAAAATCGAATTGCAAATGGTAAGCGCTATCTCGTTCGGTTGGTTCGCTGATTTTGGAAAAACCCTTACCATTATTCAACGATCGTCCCAACCAGTATATTCTGAGGGGAACCCATTACCCAATCACGATTTGCCATTTGAAACTCATCCGTAACCACCAAGGGAAAATGGTTTTCCCTCCTGACGTTTGTTAGCTCATTCATGCTGAAAGCACAACTGACTACACAACTGCCCAAAAATAAAAGAAAATGTATTCCATAAGTCTTGAAAGTTCGCACTGGTTAGAAAGATCTTAAGGATGAAATCTATATTGTCTTGTACCTCTAGCCGGTAAGATCTTAGGAGGCCTAGAAACTACCACCGGCTAGAGGTACAGCTTGCATATTTAGTCGACTTTGCCCAATTTCTATAACGGTTTGCTTCACATTTTACTTTTCTGCACTTCCAATTAGTCTTACACTCCTTTTTATCACTTTTTTCAAGAATAGTATAATTTTATTTGTTTTCATTTGATCTTGTACCTCTAGCTGGTAGAATCATAGGGGGCTTAGAATATACTACTGGCTAGAGGTACAGCACGCACACTTAGGGGACTAAGCCCAATTTTTATCATGGTTTGCTCTACATTTTACTTTTATTCAATCCAAGTTGTAGTCTTACACTCTATGAAATCTTTTTTTTTTTTTTAAATACATTTGAATTTTTTTTCTCTTACTTGGTTTTGTACTTCTACCTGGTTGGATCTCATGAGGCTTAGAAAAGACTACCAGTTAGAGGTACAGTTTGCATATTTAGTCAACTTTGCCCTATTTTTACTGCTGTTTGCTCATTTTACTTTTCTGTACTACCAATGAGTCTTACACTCCTTAGAATCACTTTTTTCATTAATACATTTACATTTTGTTCTCTCTTATTTAGTCTATAACCTCCAGCTGGTAGGATCTTAGGAGGCTTACTTGAAGTACAGCTTGAATATTTCATTGACTTTGCCCAATATTTATTACACTCTACTTTGTATTTTACTTTTTGGCATTCCATTTTAGTTTGATACTACATTGCAATCATTTTTTCGAAGAACACCTTCTTGTTTGGTCATGTATCCACCACTGCTTATTTGATAGCACAGCAATCATAGGAATCAGCTGAAACTAAAGAAGACATTATTTGGAAATAAGCAAAGGGTTTCTGGTTGGTATTCAAATAAGAAAGGTTTGATTTCTTTTCAATAACAGCGATTTTAACAAAAAAAAATACAGTAAATAACGTAGGCACAGGTAAATCTCATTTATATAATTGTATAAATTCTGTATATATAGTTGATGACCATTCTGATTTCAAGAATAACTTGCGTACATGCTGTTAAATATCATTGAAAATACAAAGGGAAAATGTCAATTTGGTGAATTAAAATCATGTTATCCTATGACTACCTAAAGATGAGTTGATTTAAGTATTTCAGACAATGGTTGGCCTGGTCATCAATACTTCTAATCAAACACAAATATCATAGAAATAGAGACTGTTCCTTTCTAGGAAATTCTAGTCACATTGAGGCAGAGTATTACATGACAAACTTCAGTAAATCTGGTTGACATGTTCAAGTCTAAAATAAATTTTGGGGCAAATTCATCTAAAACTGGTTATATTTGTATTGATATAAATCCACAACCAAACAAAATACAAATCAGGCTAGTTAAAAATTTATTAACTTGTTAATGATTTCAAGCTTACGTTACACACGTAAGCTGCCCCTCTGGCTAGTAGTGTTTTCTGAGTTATCCAACATCCTACTGGCCGGGTAAACAAGGCAAAACATGAAAATATACCTATTGAGTGACTCCACAACAGTATAAGACTAACATGACGTGTAGAAAGGTTTTCCCATAAACCAAGAAGTTAATGAAATAAGCTAAATCCACCTGCACGAATTACCTCTAACCTGTAGAATTTTCCGAGCCACGCAAGATCCTACCAGCTAGAGGTACACGACCAAGAAACAAGAAGATACTCATGAAAAAAAAATGATTCTAATGTAGTGTAAGACTAAATGGAATGCCGAAAAGTAAAATTCAAAGCAAACTGTTATGAAAATTGAGCGAAGTCGATTAAATATGCAAGCTGTACCTCTAGCTGATAGTAATTTCTAAGCCTCTGAAAATCCTACCAGCTAGAGGTACAAGACCAAATAAAAAAAAATAAATGTAAATGTACTCTTGTAAAAAGTAATTCCAAGCAGTGTAAGACTACAACTTGGAGTGCAGAAAAGTAAAATGTGGAGCACACCATGATAAAAATTGGGCAAAGTCGACTAAGTATGCAAGCTGTACCTCTAGCCGGTTGTATTTTATAAGCCCCTTCAGATCTTATCAGCTAAAGGTACAGGACCAAATAAAAATAAGTAAACATATTCGTATTCGTGAAAAAGGTCATTCAAAGGAGTGTTAGACTAATTTGGAGTACAGAAAAAATAAAATGTGATGCATACCGTGGTAACAATTGAGCAAAGTTGACTAAATATGCAAGCTGTACCTCTAGCCGGTAGCATTTTCTAAGCCTCCTGAGATCCTACCGGCGAGAAGTACAAGACAATAGAAAATTCATCTTAGGGATCTTTCTAACCAGTACAACTATGACACGGGCATTTTAGTGACGATACTATCCATAAGTTTCGTTTACCTTTGCAAGCGCAGGTCTTAGCAGCTAAAGTGTTCAGCTAAAACTCTGCCGAACAAGAAACTTAAGATCGACGAGGGTGGAGGAAACAGCCATACAAAATTAAGCGAAATTTTCTTTATTTAAACTCAACAATGTATCTTCACATGTAAAATATGTTATAATGTTCATTTCTGGTTCAATCACGTCGCTTGACTGTTGGTAAATTGCAGATGGCGTTACCTAAATAGTCCACCATATTACATGTAGCCGACAATTTCCGATAATCATCCGACTCGAAAACTCGTTATCAGTGCTCCTCGGGCGTACTTTTAGCCGGTAGGATTTGGGCACAACCGTGATTGACAGAGTTGAGTCACCGCAGTAAACAGTTTGCGGGTTGGGGCTTGTCGCTCATTACAATTGGGTGCATTTGAGTATCTGGGGTTCTCAGTTACCAAATCCTTTGCACAATCAACTGCCAAAATGTGTTGGAGTCAACGCGCCTCAGGCATGAACACACTACTTTAGAGACTCGTGAGATATTTGCGTTGGATATAAAGGTAAATGCCGTCTACTTTTATTCATCAGTGGAAGTATTGGAGTCAGTCGCTAGTAGCAGAGTAGAATTTGTTTACGATAAACCAGCAGGCAACTGCAAATTTCAGTTAAAAGTATTCGTTCTTCCAGCTTAGAACACTGTATGTAAACTATACGTTTACAAATTAACTTTTCTGTTTGAACAGGACTAGTAAATGTGAAAAATTTGGGCAAGAAGTTTGAAGGCATTTGGATTTTGAACCGTCACGCAACGTATCAACAAATCGTAGTTAAAATTAAGAGGGAACCTCAAATTGCTAATCGTAAATCCACAGGATAATACTGGACTTTCTCATTATGTTATATCTGTCCGTAAAACTTCGGTTGTTGGTAGCAATAAACGAGAGTTGGAAGTAGTGAAATCATTTAAGTATCAATTTTCGACAGTTGCAGACAGCGTGGCGCGACAGTAATTATCATAAGCCTAAGCTCCAGCTGTGAGATGATCATCTTGCTCAAAAACGGTCATGGCGGAATTTTAAGAGTTTGTACGGGAATATTTACGACCGCTGCAAGAAATAAAAAATACATTCTCAAGCGGACATTACATTACAACGTTACGTCAAATTCTCAATTAAAATACCTCACCTTACTTCTACGGCGTATCGCTTTTAAAGCTAACCCTAAACCCTAACCCTAACAACAATTGAGATAACACCGGAAATATTATAATGGCCTGACTTTCTATTTTTAGTTTTACAGATTGAGCATTGACTTGTTTCTCTTTGAGGGAGAACATCTGTCAGAAGTTTGGACGCTTTTTAAGTTGGAAAGGTAAGAATATCTAACCAAAGTTAGGCAAAAGTTTACCTGTATTGCAATGGGCGTCTGTACTGTTAGACAATACTTTAATTTTTGGTTGCTTTGAGCCGTGGAAAGGGCGTTAGATGTTTCTCGGATTCGGGAATTTTGACTGAAACAATTGTAGACTTTCCGGACGATTTACCACACACGTTTGCCCGATCACGTGGCATTTCATCCAGAGCTAAAGTTTTTGCAAACCAAATGGTTGGGAGATCTTGGCCCAGTAATCCTTTTTTCGTGTAATAGTGATTTTTCATCAAATAAATAGAGAATAATACATGGGCGCGCGTAGATATGGAATTTCTGTGTGTAACTCGATAGCTCACGAGTGAACGCAGCGAACGAGTGAGATGTCGAGTTGAACACGAGAAGAGAAATTCCATATCTTCAAGCAATCATGTATTATTTTGTTTATCATATAAACACAAGAGCCCTTTACTGAGAAGAAAGCCGACTTCATTAAGGAATGAAAATAAATGAATCGACAATCCTCGAATAACAATCGTAGAGTGCGTTGACGCTGACTCTCTATTTTGACTTTCTATTTTTAGTTTTACAGATTGAGCATTGACTTGTATCTCTTTGAGGGAGAACATCTGTCAGAAGTTTGGACGCTTTTTAAGTTGGAAAGGTAAGAATATCTAACCAGAGTTAGACAAAAGTTTACCTGTATTGCAATGGGCGTCTGTACTGTTAGACAATATTTGAATTTTTGGTTGCTTTGAGCCGTGGAAAGGGCGTTAGATGTTTCTCGGATTCGGGAATTTTGACTGAAACAATTGGAGACTTTCCGGACGATTTACCACACACGTTTGCCCGATCACGTGGCATTTCATCCAGAGCTAAAGTTTTTGCAAACCAAATGGTTGGGAGATCTTGGCCCAGTAATCCTTTTTTCGTGTAATAGTGATTTTTCATCAAATAAATAGAGAATAATACATGGGCGCGCGTAGATATGGAATTTCTGTGTGTAACTCGATAGCTCACGAGTGAACGCAGCGAACGAGTGAGATGTCGAGTTGAACACGAGAAGAGAAATTCCATATCTTCAAGCAATCATGTATTATTTTGTTTATCATATAAACACAAGAGCCCTTTACTGAGAAGAAAAGCCGACTTCATTAAGGAATGAAAATAAATGAATCGACAATCCTCGAATAACAATCGTAGAGTGCGTTGACGCTGACTCTCAAGATGGAAAAATGCGTTGAATGATGCTGTTCATTCATAAACCTGACCGAGTGGCGCTAAAAGTAAGCGGCGTGTAAGAAGCTGATTGGCTATGTCAACACACGTGTAAAAAATAACATATTTTTTCAGGTGTGTTGTTACGGCTTTTCTCAGGGCCGGAAATCCTTGTATAACGCTGTTTCCATGATAATGCATTTTAGAGAGCGAGAGTAGGCGTACCCACTATATACTTTGTATTCAGTTGGAAAAAAAAATTGTGATGAGACAAAACATTCTCTCGATAGACACGAGACAGATACGATAATCTTATGCCTGGCCATAGACTTCTCACGGTCACAATGCAGAGTGTGGGAATAACTTACCTGACGCAATTATTTATTGCTTTTTGTTTTCTCGACTGACTCGACTGAAACAGACTAAGTGAGAACAAAGGTGCACTTGGCGAGTTAATACACTCCATTCTTTGTCATGTATGCCATGCATGTTTCAAGCACAGCAGGAATATTTAGATACCTTCTAAAGAAACCAAAAGAACGTCATATGGTCTAGTAACAGTGGAAGATATTTATAGTTGGTACATAGGCAGCAAATTATAATAACTTGCTGTATCCTTTGTCATTTTCTTGCAAATTATACGTTTTAAGTGAGCAGTCAGCTTTAAGTTATTCAGTAAGACCGAGAGGGGACTGAAATGGCGTGTGGGGCATTACCGCTGGACAAAATATCTTTCTTTTTTCAAATATTCAATCGTCAATAGGCTTATTTTTATCTATTACTGTGATAATCATCGATTCCATATATGCGAACAATTTAAAAAAAGCAAGATCACTTCATCTTTTAAGAAGCCCTTAGATAGCCGAAAAAAATTGTCCTTTGTGATCTCTACAAAGGTAACAGATCAACGAGGTACATTGGGTCTGTTGAATTTTATTTGTATTTTCTTAAAGTAGAAGGGGCAAACCCTCCAAGCACACTGTAAAATGAAAAGAGTGGATTTGGCCCAAAAAATGGGGCCAAAGCGAGTGGGTCCAGTTTGGTACTGGC